TCCAGACTTACTGATAGTACTAGAGAGTTGACGACGGGTGTTATCAGTTTTTTTATTTGGGGTTGGTAGAATGTTGTGCAACTCTGGTGTAAATACAGGGACTACCTGAAAAAAATGACTGTTGCGTCGGACGACAACAGGTAAATCGTTTGTGTTGGGTATACATATCTTTCAACTAACTGATTGTAAGATGGCAGGTTCCGGCCATCGGGTGTGATCATTGGTTTGGGCTGAGTCCAATCTGGGCTCGATAGTGACTGTTGAGAGCTGGTTGGTATTTGCTGGCAATTTGACCTCAATAAATTGACCCGGCCAAATTGTGGTTGATAATAATACTGAAGCTTGGGTCCGACGTACGACCGGTGACTTGTTATCTTCCAATGGACCGTATTTGTAGATCTCCTCTCCTATCATGACTTGAAGCGTTGCTGGTCTGAGACGTCGTTCACGGACAGAAAAGGGGTACCACCCAATAAATCAACGTCTATAGATTCCATAACGAGGGCAGTAAGATGAAGTATGTGTGTGTGTCAAAATAGTTCAAATCGAGTTTCACCAACAATTTTAAGTTTAGTCTGACCATCGGCCTGTGTGGCATGTTGAGTGCTCTTCGTTACGGGTATTCCTAAACTTAGTACTAAAGAGTGGCTAATCATGTTGGTTTCTGACCCAGAGTTAATGGTTACCTGGACATGATGTTTAAACATTCAATCATTCTCAGATAATATGCCAAAGCTGTTCAATCTTTTGCTCGTGAAAACTCTAGAAGACAAATATTCAATTTACAGCGCGGTACTGAAAGTTTTGTCAAAATCCAGCAAGAATCATGCCTTCTTGAGTTTCTACGAGCCACAAATTGAATGAGTTTTTAAGAACAAGGGCAATAACTCATCCTAAATATTTTTCGATTTTTCTGATTTTCAATAGGCTTTAATCTTGAGTGATAACAAACACTCAAGCCAAGTTTCGTCAAACTCTGTCAAAAATTGTGCCTTCTGGTGTGTTGACAAACTAAAATTGAACGTGTTTCAAGAACAAGGGCAATAACTCATACTAATTATTTTTCGATCTTTCAGATTTTCAATAGGGTTCATCCTTGGGTGATAACCAACACTCATGCCAAGTTTCGTTAAAATCTGTCAAAAATTGTGCCTTCTGGTGTGTTTACAAACTAAAATTGAACGTGTTTCAAGAACAAGGGCAATAACTCATACTACAGAACCATAGCGTAACATAGTATAGCAGACCAGGTAAAAGTATCTAATGTGTGTGTCTATGCAACAGTTAAGTATGAAAACTCTCTACTCATAAGTTTTATGAAGCCTCAGAAGAAGTCTCCAGGTTGATTAAAGATGTCATGAAAAAGTCAAACAAAGAAACTGCTGTATATGGATCACACACTGTTCGCTCAGCTGCTTGTATATCAAATCAATTACAATTGGAGTCCTATGACTCACAGTATTTAAAATTGACTTCAACTTTAACCAAGGTATGTCTCAACAATTTTTAAAAGATAGCTTGCCAGGCAAGGTAATGTATGCCCACTGACTGCTTTGATTTTGAACATTAATATTTAGCAGTACAGTAACAATCACCAGTATGAAATATTCAACCTTCAGTCATACACTTCTTTTGAACTCTTTAAGGCGATACCGAATAATATTGAGTATGAGTTATTGCCCTAGTTCTTGAAAACATGTTCAATCTTCAGCTCGTGAAAACTCTAGAAGACAAATATTCAATCTTCAGCGTAGTAATGAATAATAAAACCAAGTTTTGTCAAAATTCGGCAAGAATCATGCCTTCTAGAGTTTTTACGAGCTACAAATTGAACAAGTTTTCTAGAACAAGGGCAATAACTCATACTAAATATTGGGTGATTACAAACAACCATAATAAGTTTCATCGAAATCAGTCAGGAATTGTGCCTTGTAGAGTTTTTACGACAATTGTGGACGGACGGACCGACGAATATGGGTGACGGCAATATATGCTCCAAGTGAAAAGGGTTAAGTATTTCTGTTTTGACCAAAGATCTTTAAATGAGCTGGAATGGAATGAAGTGACATATGGCGAATTTTTGTACAAATTTCATAAGTTCTCCATTTATCATCTGATTTGCACAATTTACATGTCTATCAAAACCTTCTAACATTAAGTTAGCTTTGTTGGCAACCGAATTTTGAATTCAAATTTCTTTTATGCCCTATACCTTGACTTTCAATGACCTTGAATATTTCAGAGAAGAATGCCCATGACCTCAGCTATCTATAGGTATGTTTATATTGGATGAAAAACATTATCTGTCGGATTTATAGCCCGTTTTTGCAACTTTGGACGGCTATGGCACATTCTCATATATGACAGCGAGGATGAAGAGCCTGTGTTCGTAGTGGATGGAGCAGATTTCCTGCCCCAAGCTAGCCCCACTGTCGTGATAAAGGATGAGGATGTTGCAGCTCTGCAGCTTGAGGAGTTACCTGCTCAAGATGGTGAAGAAGAAAGGCTGATACCACCAGAATATGACGTTTTCACCCCTGAGCCACTGCAACCCCTGAGGAAATCTGCAAGGGAGAGGAGACCACCACAGTGGCAGCAAGAATTTATCATGTCTCAACAAACCAATACAGCTACTGCAATGAAGAAAGCTGAGATCGTGAAGTCCATGAACTACCACCTGAGAGTCTACAAGCGTTGCTGGAGATATTACCGAGCCTATGCAAGACTCTGTTCCCAGAAGTATTCTAGATCTGGGAGGTTGCGGACAACATTTTTTTAAAGCAGGCGAGTATATGATAGGGTCCCATTACACAGGTTCTACTGTATATACATATGTATTAGCTTAATGAACACATTTTAATGAACTCACACACTGTCACAACTTAAATTCTATACACCCTGTACTATCTCTTTGTTTTCAAGTGGTCCGTGAGTTTGTTCAAACCTGTCAAACATTGCCACTTATTAGCTTTAATTGGTTTGAGGAGGTTGTTTCAACTTGGTCTGTAGATTACAAACTAGTAATAGTTTATGGTTTAAAGTTGGTTTATTATTATTTTTATGGTTGGAAACCCCTTTCTAGGGATTTTTATACTTATATTTAATCATTAAAGATGGTGATGAAACATTCAACTTAGTTGTTTTACTGCTAAGTGGACCCCCTATAACAATAACAAAACTGTTCTTTTGAACTTCTGGCACCTCAGTGAGCGAGAAAAAAATTAATCTGATTATTAGTGCTGCAAGGATTCTTGAAGTTGAGATTCGATACACTATGGGATACGCATCCAACGATATGATTTATTGCGATAATTATCACGATTCATTTATTACAGAAGGAAAGAGAAAAAATAGTAGAGATTTGTAAAATTACTAACAAGTTTGTAACTTTGAAGCACTTGAGAACATTTAGAAGTAAGGAATTGTGAAAAAATCACAATTTTGCAAATCATACGCCTCCCAAACTTTTCGAGAAAAATGATCGTTGCCACTACCAGCATTACAACATTGGGTCGGAAAGCAGATTGACAATCTCGATAATAAATATGTGAATTAAGAGAAACTATATGCGTCCAAATTGAAAATACTCTCAGACTGAAGCACAAGGGTTGTGCAGAAATGGCTATGTTTTGTGGAGTTTGTGGAACTAGAAATTTTTTTGAAAATAATACTTAATAAACCTTTTTGTCATTGCACAAAGCTCACTAGGATTTGATAAACCTAGATTTCTATATATTTTATCCCCACTGATTCCTTTTTTTTGTTGACACTTTGAAATTGGGCTCTAGCCTCTTTGACTCAGACGTTAAGCATTGGAAAATAAATAATGCGTACAAAGCAGCTTCCTAAAATATATGTGCCTTTAACGTTATCAACGACTGCTCAGAGCTCAGACTTCTTCAAAGCGAAAATAGGACGGCAGGTAAAATCCATATACTGTTAATTTTCACTAATTTTTCGGGTTTTCTCATCATCTCAATTCTCAATGGTGTTGTTATAATTGCTGTGGTTATTCTGGAGGTTATTTTGCTTTTAAATAATCATGTTTGAGAAGAAACTATATGTTTAATGCATGTTCTACTTTGGGGTCAAATCGCGTAAATTAGCCGATATTTCAGTATCTCAAGCAGTTGCTGGCCTCCATAGACATCATTCCATCTGGGTAAAAAAAAATTTCTGTCAATTGCTACTTGGTACAAATCCGTGATAGGAAAAACTTTGTCCAACAAAAACAAAAATTATTGTGGTCATGACGTTAATAATACAGATTGGTCTATGGCGGGTCAACGACCTTGACTTTTTGACAGCTGTTCTAAATCATGTATTATCTCAGTCGATTTTTCCCAAACAATGACAAATGGACATAGGCCATCAGGCCTATCATCAGCAGATGATGATGCTCAGCACGGTTTGATGGACTCAACTCGAGAGATAGGGCAACTTTTTGTATCTCATCAATAGATACATGAATACCAAGTTTCATCAAGAGGGGATAAAAACTGTAGCCTCTATTGTGGCTACAAACCAAATTTGATGTGTTTTTACTAAATCAAGGGCTATAACTCCCAAACCATTTATCCGATTGTAACCAATTACGAATTTAACATGTTTCATCAAGATGGGATAAAAACTGTAGCCTCTATCACGGATACAAGCCAAATTTGACAATATTAAATTTCACAATCGTTCTTCCGATCATTACCAAAATCAAGCTAGACCAAGATCTCATCAATATATACTTGCTTGCATACCAAATTTCATTAAGATGGGGTAAAAACTGTAGTCTCTATCGTGGCTACAAAAAATGTGGATGAAGGAACAGACAGACGGACATAAAAATGACTGGGGTAACTTGATTCAGGTCAAAATATATTTCTCATTTCTTGTGGACATTATAAAGTATCATACGATTGGAATCAAAACTGATGTTGGAGGGTTCTATTGATTTTGTTTTCTTTTGTGATTGACAACATTGACAATAAGATTCCTTCTTTAATTACCTGGTGTCTCAGGCACAGGTCTGTAACCAACTCCATTTTCATCAATGGGTACTACAATTCCAGCTCCATGGAATGTTTTGCAAACAATCTTTTCATCTCTACATTTACTTTTCATAGTTTTGTAATCTAACTCAACATTATTCTTCTTACTAAACTCACACAGGTCTTTCAGTTGTTTCTCACTCAATTCTTTCAGGTCTGCATTCTTATCTGTTGATTTTATTCTTTCTTCTAAAAAATGCCTAAAACATAACAAATATTGACAATTATAATGTCAACCAAGTCGTCTGGGAGGTTGACAAGAGCTATCAGTAGATAAAACATTCTGAGAGTAACATTTTTATTCTACAAGAGCTATATTCACAGCTCTTCTCTGTTTTTTTTTTTTTGATTTTTGATAGTGTTCATCCAATTTGCAAGGGAATCTGAAAAAAATAAACCACCTGAACTAATAAAGACTAATGCCAGAGTAGTCAAAGGTTTCGAAAATTGCTGTTGTTGTGAAACTGGATGTTAGATGTCGGACATCATATAATAGTATGACAAAAAATTTTGCAACATCAAAGGTCATTGATCTAGGATGTACATTCATACTTCATCTTTTATGTCCGACATATACTTCCGCTGTTACAGACACCCAAAAACAGCTATTTTAAAACTTTAAATGCTCAAAAGTCCTAAAATTTATTCAAAAGTCATTGGGTTCTCTTCCTGGGCAAAATATCCCACAGAAAAACATCTCCCACGGCACAATTATACAGGTCCAGGCACGAGATTAGATCTACGATTGGATGAAAATGATAATCCCAAACCAGGGGAAGAACCTGTTAATAGAGCTGACGCAGCAGCGCTCAAACACGACATACTGTACAAAAACAAAGACATAACATTTAGACACCTAGCAGACAAACAAATGATACACAAACTTGAAAATATTCCAAATCCCACTTTCAAAGAGAAATTACAAAGGGCTCTTATCATAAAACTCTTGAAGGCAAAATTGAAATTGGGTATGGGCATAGCAGACGAGATTCACAAAGAATTTAGAAAAAACAAACATTACCTCAAAGTCAAAGTTTTTGATAAAGATGAAATTTGGTCAGCCGATTTAATCAACATGCCAATCAAGAGAGGGTTTAAGTATTGTTTGACAGTGATCGACATGTACACGAGATACACTTGGGTCTTTCCCAAACAAATCGGGTCTGACTGTCAAACAAGCATTCGAAACCATAATGAAACAATCCGACAGACGACCCCTAAAGTTGTGGGTTGATAAAGGAAGCGAATTCTACAACAGAATTTTCCAACAGATAACAGATAATCTAACCAAACCAAACCAACGACTACCATTCGACTACCAATCAACAAGAAATACCATGATCAGAACGAGTTTGGAAGAATGAAGGAGACCGAGTAACTCACGCCACACCATCCAGGGCCGAGTTTCACCGCCATGTCATTCGACCCGACCAGATCTAACGAAGAATCAACAACCAAACCAACAACACCGAATCATCCAATTTGATCCAATCCAACTACCAACTACTACGACTACCAACAACTACCTAGTTTGCGATATCAGCATCCGCTGGAAGCGAACGTTAACTTGTCATCTACCAACCAACCTACAACAGAAATGTGAAATCTCTGGGGCTTGACATTTACAGTACGCATAACGAAGGTAAAGCCGTAGTGATACAAAGATTCAACAAGACTCTTAAAAGCAAATTATTCAAGAAATTCACAGAATTGAAATCTCAAAAATGGCTTAAAATATTACCAGTTGTTGTCGACGAATACATTAACAAAATATATTCGTTTATAGGTGTGACGCCAACGCATGCTTCGAATAACCCAAATATCAACATCAACACTCGAAAACAAGATTAACAATTTGAATATTAAACCCAAATTCATAGTTGGAGATCGAGTTTGTATTTTTAAATATATATCATTATTTCAGAAAGGTTACATCGGGTATTGGACTAACGAGATATTCATTGTTGATAAAATAAATAGCACATCACCTCCCACGTATGAATTGATCGATTAAGACAAAGAACAAATCAAAGGAAGGTTTTATCAAAATGAACTTAAAAAAACTGACTTTTAAAAATGAATGCATTTCTCGATAAATACGGAAAAGACACGACCACAAACTTTCAACTTGTGAAATGAGTTACAAAATTCAATATCCAAATTGAACGAAAAGATTGCGAAGCAAAAATCAAATGTTCAAAATATAATTAACAGTATCACACCTCCCTTTGACAAAGATACGTAGAAATGACAATTGACTGCTTTGGATACTAAAATCACGGACGAATGAGAAAAAGAACTGGTTGTGATTAAAAACTTTCTTCAAAATAAATTTCAAGATGATAACAAAAAATATATTAAAGAACAGGTCAATATTTTGGTATCTAGAATTCATGATGATTTTTTGAGACAAGAGAGAAAGTTGACCAAATTAGAAGCTATTGTCACGGACAAATCGTATTATTTCAATCTTCCATTCGAAAGTGACACTCCCTTGGACAGAAAAGACCAAAGTTATAATTAAAAAAAAAACTATGGATTCAAAGTAGAAATAAAAGTAGCTTCTCACGTAGATGGAGAACCTAACAACGTATTCGATATCGGCGAAACGGAAGCGTTTACTTTTTGAGGTAGATGTCTGATTGAAATAGATTTTCCCACGAAGGTTAAAGTCAATAAATAGTCTTCAATCGGTGCCGGTAATGCTGTCAAAAATCTTTTATTTTTCAATGATGGTAATTTGGAAGAGACTATACGTTTGATTAATAAAAGGGATGAGTTATATGAAATTGAAACGAAAAATGGTAAATATGTAGACCCCTTTAAAATGGAAGTAGAAAATGATAAGGATATTATTGGAATTAAAGATTTAGCTATGATATTGGAGACGGAAAATCCACCATCAGTCAACATTGTCAAAATTCCACCATCAGCTCAAATAATCCCAGAAAAAGAATCGAGTAGTTACCAGTTTTTACGAACAACATACTTTGAATACGTAAAACTGTATTTTGCTTTAGGTGGAAAATACACCTCACAATACACATGGCTGGTGGATTAATGATTCCAGCCATCGTCCCAACCGTACTGTCTGCATTAACAGCCGTTCAAACAACCTATTGCGGCCTCATCATGTTAGGTTTCACAAGCAAAAAGAAACTTCATTATAAAAAGAAAACGGATATCTTGAATATGTATCTTAAACAATTGTACATCATTTTCGAAAGATCGAGAGAAGACAAGAACATAACAGTTGATGAATTAGAAAAATTCAATGAAATTTTGGATAAATTCCATACAGAAATATCAGCGGTCAAAATAAAGAAATAATCAAAAATATATACTTGATAAATATGAATAAAATTGAACACAATGAAACATTGATCGAAAACGCATTATTTTCCGATGTTATCAAGGTTGTTTCCAATAAATTTAAAACATTCAAAGGGCAAATTAAAATAGATGGAGAGATACTCGAGGAAGGGAATCACAGACAATAAATGTCACTCCTCGGTTTCAATACCAAAACTTTTCACAATATCTATTCAAATATGGATAAAAAATCTGATGCTTCCGATTGCTATTTTACAGGAAAAGTAATTTTAATGAAAGACAATTTCCAAGAAATCAAAAGATCGAAAGTTGCATTTCTGTCTGATAAGGAGAAGCCAAAAAAGTTTGGGAATTCAAGAAATAGAAGACAATTAGGAACAGGTGTGGAATATTTTTCATTGCAATTTCTGTGATTTTTGATTCTATATGTATACCACCAACTACCACCAAATACCAAAATGAATTTTACCTCCTACTTTTCTGCACCTGATTGGGCTAATAAAAACGAGCAACGCCATGCAGCGTGCAAGGAGGAAAATTTTGCATGGACAGCGGCATCAAACAGTTTTTTTTCCATAGTACACAGGGGCTCGGTTTATTGTCACATCTGAATGACTAAACGCCATTTCCATGACATCTCCATTGACCTACTAGGCCTATATCACTGACAGAGGGAAACCTGGCTCAACTTCCACAGGCACTCCTTCAGAAGATTTTTCATAAATTTTGTTTTTTTATTGATCTTAATTGAAATGATGAATTTTCTATGTTTATATTTGCTTATTTGTTACATAATCCCTGTTTTCTAGGGATATCATACTAATATAGTTAATACTTTAAGGGTAGGCCTACCGGTATAAAAATGACTGGATATCAAACAAATAAAAAAAGGGACTGGAGGATATCCAACAAGTTTCTGTGACAACACTGATAACTGCAAGAGAATCTAATCACAGTATATCCTGCTCACGCGACCACCTTTATTAAGCAATCAGCGATCTAACGAAGAATCAACAACCAAACCAACAACACCGAATCATCCAATTTGATCCAATCCAACTACCAACTACTACGACTACCAACAACTACCTAGTTTGCGATATCAGCATCCGCTGGAAGCGAACGTTAACTTGTCATCTACCAACCAACCAGAGCCATTCATCATTCAATGCACTGAACTGAAACCCGCTCGTAAGCCACTACTAGAGTACCTGGAAACCAACGGCATACCACTAACCATACAGAATGTTTTGGCTCCACCCACGGACCACTGGTATACGATAATGGAACTAGTCTTCCATTTTATAACCAAATCTGTCTTGAACAGATAGGCTAAGTTTTTTTTTTTTTTTTAATCAAAGTTTCTTAACACTTTTTAATTATATCCAACCACTTTAACAAGTTTCATCGCAGAAACATTAGAGAACATCTCCCCCCCCCTTTTGTGAAAGCTTCCCCCCCCCCCCTCTTTCCCCCTCTTTTTCTCACTTTCTTTTCTTTTTCTTTTTTTTCAGGTCTTCGAGTTTTCCAACAGATAACAGATAATCTAACCAAACCAAACCAACGACTACCATTCGACTACCAATCAACAAGAAATACCATGATCAGAACGAGTTTGGAAGAATGAAGGAGACCGAGTAACTCACGCCACACCATTCAGGGCCGAGTTTCACCGCCATGTCATTCGACCCGACCAGATCTAACGAAGAATCAACAACCAAACCAACAACACCGAATCATCCAATTTGATCCAATCCAACTACCAACTACTACGACTACCAACAACTACCTAGTTTGCGATATCAGCATCCGCTGGAAGCGAACGTTAACTTGTCATCTACCAACCAACCAGAGCCATTCATTTTCA